GTAACAGGTGAAGTAGGTCAGGAACTCCTAAAGTCATCTGATCCAGAATATCTGTGAGTTCCACCAATGAAACCAATGAGGGTTTCATTGGGTTACCTCCCTCCTCTGTGTGAAATTTTGTTGACTAGGTAAATTGAACTTAAAACTTAATAGAAGATTCTATTACCTTGTCCTTTGGGAAACGACCTCCCTTTATTTAGCAGGAAAACCTCCCGTCCTCGCTCTGGAAACTGTGATAGAATAATGGTAGCCAACATTTATTGAGCCCCGAACATCCCAGGGAGCATCCAAGCCCTCGTGGCTACATCAGCAATGCCCCTTCCTGCTCGCTCAGCCCCTTCCTCAGACCCTGTGCTGGGCTGGGTGTGGGCGTGCAGACCTGTCTCCAGCTGGGCTCACAGGTTGCTGCGTGGGGCAGGAAGGCTTCTCCCTGCTCTTGTGGCCCCCACCTGGAGGAGAGGACCTGCTGTAACATGAGGAAAGGTCAGAGCTGTTATCTGTCTGGCTTATGACTCCTGAGAGGCAGTTGTGATGCAATAATAAAATACTGGGCCTAAACCATGTTCCTAAATTTGTCACTTAAAAGAAAACAAACACGTGAATGTAAAAATGTTCATTTAAGACTCTAAAAATAAATCTGCATATGGTTTTGTTTGTTCATCCAGATGATATAGCACAAAATTATTTTTTTTAAAAAAGGAACATAACTGCATTTTGGCATATGTGGTAGACTGAATAACAGTCCCCCAAAAGATATGCATGTTGTTACCCCCAGAACCTGTGAATATGTTACCTTACATACTAAAAGGGACTTTGCAGATGGGATTAAGCTAAGGATCTTGCGATCGGGAGAGGTTGTCCTAACGGGCTGGTCCCAATGTTATCACAAGGGTCTTTCTGAGTGGAAGTGAGAAGCAAAGTGAGATACCCAGAGAAATGCTGGTGTGAGAAGGACTCAAGCAATCTACTATTGCTGACTTTGGACATGGAGGAAGGGGGCTACAAGCCAAGGAATGCTTCCAGAAACCAGGAAAGGCAAGGAAACAGATTTTCCCCTAAAGCCTCCCGAAAGGATGCAACCTCTGGACACCTTGATTTTAGTCCAGTAAAACTGATTTCAGACCTCTGACCTGGAGAACTGTTAAGATAATAACTTTGTGTTGTTTTAAGCAACTAATTTTACGGTAATCTGTTACATCAGCAAGAGGTAACTCCCAGGGTGTCATTAACGTCTGCAACAGAAGCCAAAGCTTGTCACCGTAAACAATATTCTGCGGATACGAATGCTAAACTACAAGAAACAACATCAGGGAAGAAAAACTAGAAAATTAGTGGATTACTACACTCCATTGTCAAGCCTAATTATAAACTTGTTTGGACCCTGACCAGTTTTTAGTGTCTGTCGGTGAACACCAGGAATTTGCATTTTATTAAATCTTATTTAAATTGCTTGAATTTCTGGTGTCTTGGAGGAGCAGAAGTTTAGCCAAGAATTTATACGTTGGTGCTTGTAATCAAGCTGCAGGTTTTACTCACTTTAACAAACAGAACCGTCATTTGTGAATGATTCTGGGGCCCACAGCTTGATTTCATCTCATCACTCCTTAACATGTATTTACCCAAACACAAAGCGCAAACCCAACGGACAGTGACTCCCTTGAAGTACGCGCATCCCCAGCGAAGGTCCTTCCTTGATGGCGCCGACCAGTCAGAACCTGCACCCCCAAAAAGAGAATCCGAACACAGGTACCCAGCTTCTTGGGACAGGGACAGGGCCTAGAGTGCAGGCTGTCACTTTCGGAATGGGGACAGAAAAGAGGAAAAAAATAGAATGGGAAGTCTGGTAATATCCTCCACATCCCAGTTCCATCCAGAGTCACTGCAACCCGGGGATTAGCATAAGAATGAGAATCCACGAACTGTCAGTGTGCAGAGTAGCAGAATAGAATAACATAGCCCTTCATAGGAAAATGCTTCTAAATTTAATTTAATCTCATTGGCAATTTGGAAATTGCCTCAGGGTGCTGCAGGGTTTCCTCCCCACGGTCATGAATATTAATCATCAGGGTGTGGTGCTGTAGAAAACAATGAAGGAGACTCAAGGCTTCCATTTGCAGGCTCCTAAAAAACCCTGAGTAGATAAGCATTTATGAGGGGCTCCCAGGCCTTCCCGTGATGACCTGGAACCTTCCCGTGGGCCTGCGAGTGGACTGAGCTACTTGAGTGGAGAAAATGTCTTGTGAGGCTGAATGGCCCTTCGTTTGATGATCACTTTGTACATTCCATGTGCATCAGAGGAGGTCGCGAGGGCTCAGCAAGTGCTTACTAGCACCTCCTGCACATCCTCTGCCGCGTCCCCACCCGCCCTTGCAAACCAAATTCCACAGCCCAGGGAGAGTGTCTATATTCCTGCCCACACTCTATTCCCAGTGCCAGCTACTTAGCAGGTGCTTAACTGAATGGTTGGATGTTCGTAAGCCCCTGGGGTCTGGAGGGTTCTCCCTGACTGGGGGTCAACATCTTCGTCAATACTGGCCACCAAACTCCTGACCAGGGGCAGCCAGGAGAACTGCGCAAAAATGTTCAACAGGAGATAACACAGTGGCTACCAGGAATTTTTTTTTCCTAGATCCCCATCAGGAAGTCATTCTCTTCAAAAGGAGAACACAGTCACCCCTTTCTCTGCAGTGAGGCAGAGAACACGGGGTCAGAGTGCAGCACTCCCCCCAAAAAGGAGAGACAAAAGAAAGCTAATTAAAATGAATCACCTTTGAAATTTAAATTTTTGTTTAATTAGCAAAGATGAAGAAAAATCGGAAAAGTGCAATGACGCGGCACACCCGTCATTCACTCAGGGAGCTCGTTTGGGAAAAGAGTTTGGCAGAGAGCATCTAGTACCTCAGAAATCAATGCTCCTTCCCTTTGGCCCAGTAATTGCACTTCTGGGAATCCATTCTAAGGGAATAATCCTAAATACAGAAAAAGTTTCATGCACAAGAATTATCTGTTATTTTGTATTTAAAAATTACAGTGTCAGGTACATTAATAAAACCTGGAAACAACCTATATATCCAACAATAGAGGAAGATAAAGTAAATTATATTGTATGACTATTATGCAGCTATGAAAATACCGTTTTTAAAGTTTTTATGACACGAGAAATGCTTGTATTATTATGTTAAGTGAAAATGGCAAGATACAAAATTTCATATACATTATGAAATCAATTAGACATTTTCAAATGCATGGAAATTAGACCAGAAGATATCATTTGCTAATATTATAAAATTAATAGTGCTTCTCTTTGTAGGTGGAGTGGGATTATGGAGAATTCTTCTGTTTGCTTTTATATTTTTCTATACTGCCCATATTTTTGCCATTGACATTATATTTTTCATACATTTATCCTTGGGGGTGGGGAGAAATCCTTTATTCTTGTTTAAGATCTTGTCTCTGAGGGATTAATTTAACACACCGCGGTCAGAGAGTTGCTGCCTCCGGTGAAGGTCGAGCCGCGGAAAGAACTAGTTGGCAGATCTGGGAGTTTGCTAGTACAGCGGTCAACTGGATTCCTGCTCCGCCCCCGGCTCCGTGTGCACCTGTCCCTCTCACTGCCCCTGCGGGGTCAGGCCCGCTGGCCCAGGAGCAGACCACAGGCCTCAGCTACAAGGGCTGGAGGACAAGGCAGTCATGCGGGTCTCTTTTGGCTCTGACCTTAGCTTCTGTGACAGGTCTCCCTGGTTCTTTCCTTGAAAGCAAGTGCCCCTCCCAACCTCACCAGCAGTGGATCGCTCTCTGTGTCCTTGTGATTCTTCCAGCACCCCCACCTGTCCTCCCGGGGGCTGCAGATCTATCTCGAAACCCTGACACTCTGGAATGAGTGCTGGCTTCTGAGATGGGCCCTCCAGGAAGCCGAATGCCCACCCTTGGTCTGCGGTCTGCTTCCAGATGCCTCCCTCTTGTGCCCATTCGCCTGCCAAGGTGGTGAGTGATGGCCAGCCCACCCACCTAGTCCTTTTTACTGCCTGCAGCTGCGGCGGTCCTGATCCTCTCCTGAGCCGTGTCTCAGTCCCCCTAAGTTCCTCCCGGGCCCACCCACTGCCAATCCAGCTGTACGTGCCATGACCACTTATGACTCCTTATGCCCCTTCCCCACTTTCCCTTCGGGTCTGACAGGGAAAACATGGCCAATACCAGAGCCCCCTCTCCTGTTCTATTCAGGGTATTTACTCTGGGTGAGTGATTTGGGGAAATAAAATGGACTGCTTCCTATTAAAATGATGGAGGACGTGATTCTACAATGTTTGTATTTCTGACGAGACAGAACCCAGCCCAGAGATCCCTGCCTTTATTTAAGAGTTTTAGAAAGCTGTAAATTAGTGATGGTGGTGATGATGAGCTTTTCTATGTGGCTGGCACTGTGCTAGGCACTGAACATGCACAGTCACATCTAATCTTAAACTAACCCCACAGAATGGGATGATGGTTCCATTTCACAGATGAGGACACTGAGGCTCACTTAGGTGAATTAAGCTGGTCAGAGTCACAGAGGTGGTGACAGAAAGGAGCAGGGTCTGAACCCCAGGTCAGAGATTGATCATTACACACCACTCCAGGGGATATAACCGCAAAGGCTGGAGGTCTGGGCAGGTCACTGGGATGGGTGAATGGAGGGGCCACCGTGAGCAGGGTTTGCTGAAGAGTGTACATCCATCTGTAGGGTGGGGGTCACCACAAGGCAATCGGGTGACTTAGGCCAAGCAAGAATGGGGGCCCAATGTTGCCAGATTTGAGTTTTCAAGAGATGCCAACCAATCTGCGTTTTTATGCGTAACCTCCTGTTTGGAAATATGGGTTCAGCACTTCCAAAAACACTGGGTAGGCCGAATCAAAGACTAGATGGGCACCAGTCGGCAACCTGCCCCAAGCTGGACGGTGCACCTGCCAATACTTACCTGTGACTCACGCCCTTCACTTTGTAAGGGGCTAGGGCTACATACCTGCACAATCTCTAGCATTTCTGCCTTGCTGATGTAGCCATTTCCATCCAGGTCATACATGCTGAAGGCCCATTTCAGCTTCTGCTCCAGCTTCCCCCTCGATGTCACGCTCAGGGCTATGATGAATTCTCTAAAGTCTATTGTCCCATCTCCATTGGCATCGAAGGTGCGGAAGACGTGCTCTGCAAATTTGGAAGCATCCCCGTAAGGGAAAAAGTTCCCGTAAATTTTCTTAAACTCTTCCATTGACAAATGTCCACTGGGGCAGTCTCTCAAGAAGCCTTTATACCATTCCTGGATCTCGTGCTCTGTAAAGTCTGTGCTTTCCAGCAAATCCTGCATGACCTCTGGGCGAAGCTTGCTGTTCTGTTTCCCCATCCTGGCAGCGAGAATTCAGCTGCAGAGAGAAAAGAAGACGGCTCGTTTTTAGACCTGTTTTTTAGAGGCACACTTTATAATTTGTGATTGTTCCTTTGGGAAAAAGAAATAGACTCTTTTTAGTCCACAGCACTGTCTGGTTGTCCAACTCAGCCAAACAAAATGATAGAAAGACAGGCAGTCAGAAGATGCCGAGCGGAAATACCACTGACCAGAAAATGATAATTCTTCTATACAGAGCCATGCAAAAACAAGGGATTCGTAACAAAAGAAAGAGGGAGAAAAGGAGGGAGGGGGAGAGCCAGAGCCAGAGAAATTGGCTACTTAGTTCTGTCTCATCTATTTGCAAGAGGTCTAGTCTAGCCTGACATTAAGACGTCTGAGGCTCTAACATCCAATCCAAGTATTAGCAGAGAAAATTTAAGGAGGAGAACTGGAAGAGAGAGAGAGAGAGACAAAAGAGGTAATTTATGTTTTATTGCTAGCATATTTCCCAGGAAAGTGCTGCTTGGGTACCTTCTGAATATTATGAAACAGATATGAGTAAGGAAAATACAAACCCATCTAATACCATTAAATGCTACCAAGCTAGATGGGTTATTTAAATTCACAAGGTCAATTCACTGTCAGCATCGGGTTCAGATGGTAAAGATGAGGCTTCATAAACCGCTTACGCGCATGCCTGTGGAAGAGGCCAAACTTTCCTTTTTAAATACAATTAACCTCATATTTTACTGTAACAGTAGTACACATCCATCGTAAAATAGTAAAACAGCACAGTGACGCATAAAGAAAAAAGTTAGCAACATTTCAAATCTCAACACTTAGAGATAACCCTGCTAGCATTTTGGTGTGTATCCTTCCAGATTTTTTATATGCATGCTTATCTAAATATGCTATTAACATATGTTTTTAGTACATTTACATTTCAAAAAACAAGAATATATACACTTTTATTACCTATTCTTAAACTTAACATAGTGTGTGGGGGGGAACAAAGGCAACTTTTGTTAGATGGGAAAAAAAAACCTAGAATTAGCATCTTCCTATTCACAGAGCCCTCCACCTTAAGTAAGTGAGCACCTGGCACCAGGCATGTGTCTGGTGCTGTGGATTCAAAGAAGAGTGACATGTGGCCTCTCCATCTTCAGGGGCCTCCAGCTGTTTAAGTTCAGAAATGGCGGTGACAGTGAGGGGACAGTACACTAGATATTCAGTTCACGGTTACCAGGGAATGGATGTGGTACGATGAGAGAGCACAGAGCGGATACCCAAGCCAAAAGGGGGCGTAGCTGCTATCAGGAAAGCCTTCCTGAAGGAGGTTGATATCTGAGCTTCGTTCCTATTTCCAAAGTCTTATGATTTAAGCACGGTCAAGATCAGCCCCTTCTCATAAATGGGCTCTGCACTTATACTTTGCATTTTTCCTATATTGGAAAAAATCCTGAAAGTAAAGCTTGGAAAATTAAAGACTATGTGAAAGACCACATATCCCCATTTTAATCATGATTCCCAGTTTTCTTTGAGATTTTCTCTTCTGATGTTTATTTGTTAATGTCTGTCTCCCACCTTCTGCAGGGTCAGCCCCTTCAGACGGAGTCTCTATTGGGACTACTTTTCCCTCTCTGGTCCCCATAAATAACATTTGGTAAGTTAATGAAAAAAGGAATGACCGATAGACAGATGAATCATTACAACACGGAAATCTGTAATAATCTTCCCAGAAAAGGAGTCTTTCCACTACAGCGATGAGGCCCTGGCTGTGCATCATAGCCGTAGGATTTATTTATCTTATAACTAGAAGTTTGTACCTTTGACCCCCTTTACCTGGTCGCGCCCCCCACCCCCCTCCGCCCCCCCCCCCCCAGTTGGGGTTCTCTTATATTGAATTGCCTGTCCTTTGCCCCCACTAAAAATAAATTCCTAGAGGGCGGTGTTTGCATCTCACCCTGCTCAAACTTCTTGCATTTTATCCCTAGTTCAAGAAATGCCAAGCAATCTTAGTAATTGGCAAGGTGACTGATTTTGTTTTCTGAGTTTTGCACTGGAGGCAGAACGGGCTCCGCAACCCCCCCGCTTCCTAGACGGGGACCCTCCGAAAGGGTCGAGAGAGGACAGCACAGGTCCTATTAGCAGGACCAACAGCCGCAGGGTCAGGAAGGCCCCTCTTCACGTAGAATCAGGCAAACACCATTTTATCCAAGAGCAAGACTAAACTACAGCTCCAAATGAAGCACAATTTATAAATTGAACCTTCCAATAACTTTCATTTCCCTCATGTGTCCCTTTTTTTTCTGGAGGGAGAGAAGCAAAGTTAGAGAGGCTGGTCTGTATTACAATTTCAAAACTGTCATTTAGTTGTTAAGTTGGCAATTTGCCTGAGGCAAGAATTCAGAAACATGAGGTAATACATAATACATGGCTTTCCAGAGCTCTGGAACATTTTTATGAAATTTACAAGTAATTTCGGGTTTTCCTTTTTGGGGGCTCTTTAAAGTACGTACAGCTCTTTGGTGTGGCGTTCAATCAAGTCACCATCCCTATTCTTTGGTTCTGTGCAAATCACCACGTGCCCAGCCTTAGGAAAAAAATATCATTTTGATATTTAGATCTACTCTCTTAAAGAATGATTTCTTTTTTCTGGGTCTATACAACACTGTTTCTTCAAAACTAAACTTAAAGTTCCTTTCCCAATGTCTAAAGAGTGCTTCTCACTTATTAGCTGTTTTTGCACTAGAAACAAATTGCCTCAACATTTTGGCTAAGTCTCCCACTGAGACTGATCTGTGTGTAGCTATTTTTCAGTAAACAGTAATTAAACCACATTTACAAATTCATTAGCACAGAAAGGCCATAACACAAACAAGGCAGAGGAGCATGGAATAAGTGATTTGGGAAGCCGTGTTTGCAACTGAGTCCAGAATGTGTTTCCATAGATAATTACAAATACTTTACCAAGTATGATGTCTGAACTTGAGAAAACCATCTGGACTTGGTTAGACTGTACAACAGAAATCTCAGGGGACATACGATAGCGTTTCTTTCCCTGGGGGGAGGAGGGGAAAGACATAGGAATGCCTGACAATACCTTTTTCTATTGGAAGACAGGAATTTCTGTCTGTTTGAGTTGAAGAGGGGATAAAAATACCATCAGGGAAATGCTGTGTTCATTAGCAGTCCAGAAAAAAAATCGTCTGGAGACAAAAGTTGCACGTCAGGTCAAATCCTTTTCATTACTCCATTGGGTTATTAAAACATTAACTTTGTGCTAGTAGAACATAGTGGGGAAAAACTCAGGCCATGGAATAAAGCTTGGTTTCAAAGCCTGGCTGAATTGCTGACTAGTGCTTGGGTATTAAGTAATTCGCTGAACTTTTTGGTGCGCCTAGGTTTTGTTATCTATAAAATGAGTTCAGCGGTGCGAGTCTGTATCTCACTGATTTGATGTGAGAATTAAATGAGACAGTCATGTGCATAAAACTCTGGCGCTGAGGCTGGGCCAGACGCTGCGGTAAATGAAAACCACATCTTGTCCTTGATGGCCCTTCATCCATTATTCTATTGAGACTTCACGGCAACCCTGAGTGATAGGACAGCTTCCTCCGTTTTGTAAGCAAAGAAATGAAATCTCAGGCCAAGCAACTTATCCCAAGTCACACAGCTTGGGAATGAGGCAGCCAAACGGTAAGTTCCGTTGGCTCTAGGCTGTCCACTGGTTTTGCCACTACGTCCTACTAACCCCGTGGACAAAGCACTGACGGAAGTTAAGACGACAGCTCCATAAAAAGTCAGAAAGAAGCAGTTAGCAGAGAGAAGACAACCTCCTATTAGCACTCATTCATTTCACAAGTAGGTGCGAAGTGTCTCCTAGAAGGGAGGCATGGCTCTCCGCACCGGGAATTCATCAGGGAACAGACAAAACCCTAGTTCTCATGGAGCTGACAGTCTAGTAGCAAGAGATATACGATAAATAAATAAGGGAAATGTTGGAGAGAGTTGTTCCACGGAGAAAAGTAAAGAAGGAAGGGGGTTGGGGAATGCCAGGAGTGGCTGGGTGGGTGTCAAAATGTTAGCTAAGAAGCCAGGGAAGGCCCCATTAAGAAAGTGACACTGTCAAAGGAGGAGGGGAGGGGAAGGAGGGAGCCATGGAGATGACTGGGCAAAGGCTATTCCAGGCCGAGAAAGGGGTCTAGATGGGGAGCGGGCTTAGGGGGTCAGGGATGTGGCTGGGGCGGAGGGCGGGGAGGAAAGCGGATGAGACCAGAACAGTAACGAGGGCCTGGTGACATGGGACCTGTAGGAGACGCTAAGGGCAGTGGCTTCCACTCCGAGGGAGACGGAGCCGTTGCAGGATTTTGGGTTATATTCTACCAGGAACTCTCTGGCTGCCGCTTTGAGAGTAAACCAAACGAGGGTAGCGCAGAGGCAGGGAGACAGCTGGGAAGCCGTGGCAAGGGCCCAGACATGAGCCAAGGGCACCGGGACCAGGCTGGCAGCAAGCAGAAAAGGTGAGAGGGGCCCTGGACTCTAGACACAGCTTAAAGGGAGAGTCCACAGGATTGGATGATGGTTCGTGCACAAAGAGACTGGTCCAGCATAACTCCAAGGTTCTGGCCTAAGCAACTATAAGGATGAAGTTGACCCTGAAATGGGAAAAATGCAGAGGCAGGGCTTTGGGGCGACGCAGGGGCATGGCTAGTGGTGCTTCTGTGCAGGTATTCATTCTGAGATGACCATCCCTGGATTCCGGATCCCTCTCTCCACTGGGATGTCAAGTAGGTAGCTAGATGGGCAACGTCTGGAGTTAGAGGAAGAGGTCCAGGGAGAGAATACATTCAGGAGTCATCAGCATACAGACGATATTTATAGCCAAAGACTAGATGAGAGCCCCAAGTCAGTGGTGGTGGGTAAAGGAGAAAAGGGGATGGTGAGCCCTTATCTGTTCTGACACGTAGACTTGGAGGGAGGAGAAGGAGCCGGTGAGGGAGAACGAGAAGGAGGCCCGCGAGGCGGCAGGAA